ATATTTATGTATTATTGTAACCAACAAGACAAATAAAGTCTCATATACATGGATTTACTGATAATATCAGGATGATCCGGGTATCAGAATGTAGCATTTAAAGCCAAGAATCTGAAAATGTAATTAGGTCATTTTGACCAGATTTGACTTAATCCTCATTTTGATATGATGGGTCACAAGTATAAAAATGCTTTCTTTRACTTTTTGTATTTGAAGGATATGCACGTCACAGGCTCTTTAAGTGACTTTGAACAGCTGATGGTGCCAAACAGGCTGCTTTGTTTTTCAGAAACGGCTGATCTGCTGGGATTTTGATGCACAACCGTCTCTAAGCTTTACAGAGATTGAGAGGRAAAAAAAAGAAATATCTAATGAGCAGCAGAGACTGTAAATTAAAATGCCTTGCCGATGTCGGAGGAGGGCAGAGTGGTTTGAGATGATGGAAAGGCAACAGTAGTTCAAATAACCACCTGTTTCCACCAAGGTCAGCAGAATATAATCTCTAAACACACATCACAGCTTAAAACAGATGGGCCACAGCAGCAGAAACCACACTGAGCGCCACTCCTGTCAGCTAAGAACCAGAAATTGAGGCTTCAATTTACACAGGCTTATGAAAACTGGACATTAGGAGACTAAAAAAAAGGTCATTGCCTGATCTGATGAGTCTGGATTCACTTGGCTCAAGTGGTCTCCAGATCCTAAACTCATGGAATACCTTTGGGATTTGGTGGAACAGGAGTTTTGCATCACCTGGTAGCAGTCTGCACGTGTACACAATAAACTATGTAAGTGGTTTGATTAAAAATTTTACTTACAACTTGCATTTTGTAAATTGTAAATCCCAAGAAACGTTGCGTACCTCTTAACTTTTAAACAACTTAAACATGAGTTTCACAAAACTCAGTTTACAAAAAACGAGTTTGATTCCTCCCTACCCTTTCCTTGTAAGTTTCGTCAAGCTGCAAAACTGACGGTTTGCACTTTTCCTCATCCTTTCCACTTCTGCCTCCCCCTTTCCTCCACTTTCTCATCAGAGCGATGTGAACACGAGGCACAATTCGCCGACGCTGATTCACCCCCCTCAGGCTTTGTGCCTCGTGTGACAGCTGTGAGACCCCCGCCGAGAGTGTTTGTGGTCGTACCGAGCTGTTCTGGCACTGCACGCTGGTGCTGTTGAAGCGCAGCGCCGTGACACGGTGGCTGACGCCGTGGACATTGACCACACACTCGTAGCCTCGCTGGCCCGACTGCGGCTGGGGAAGGTTTCGGGCCCTCAGGGTGATCGGTCGAACCTCACCGGCAGGAAGGAGGATTTCACCAGAGTTGAGAAGCTGCGGGCAATCCTGTTAAAAAACAAACAAACAGTATTTAATCTACCGTATTTATTCGTGTATAATACAATCTCATGTATAATACGACCCCCACTTTTTGAGCTTAAAAAGCATAAAAAATTTAATCCTCAAACTACCTCCAATTTCATACAGACTTCAAGATTTTTCAGCCTTTGCAGTCTTTATACATATCAGTAAAATGATCATTGGACTGTTCRTTTTATTTTAACAACATATGTACTAAAAGGTATTTTGACAACAAATATATATCAGCTGTAGCAGCATCATATGAATTCTGGCATGTTACACATAGTCCACCAGGAGGCGCCAACACAAAAGTCAGAGACTTCACATGAGATTTGGGCCATCTTGTGGGGGAAAAGCAGATTACTTCCTACTCATGAGCRCCCCCTCTGGTGGGGAAACWTTTTTCAGGGATACAAACTTTTTCAGAACACCGGTAGACGGCAGCCATTACAGACGAACGTGTTTGTTGTTGTTTGAGAAGCGGCCCGGTCACGCTAATGTCATTAGTTCGTTATCATTACTAAGGTGCAGGACTGCTTTTTTCTTGTTTTTTTTTTTTCACATCACGTCGTCTGCCTGGATCTGTTATTATCTCGCTCTGAAGCATGGAGGAGTGTCAGAGGTAAGCTTGCTTCAACAGTTTTTTACGTCGTGATGTCATTTCCAGACTCAGGCATTTTGTGAATGAAGCCAATATTTCAGTTAAAATACATAAGTAAAAATATTTATCTGTGTATAGTACTACCCCCCAACTTTATGGATGATTTTATGGATTTAATGTTACGTATTATACTTGAATAAATACGGTAGATAAGTGTAGTTTTTATACAGAATAATGCATCAGTAAATTCCACATGTAATGTGATTTACATCATTTTTTCGTCATTACTGCACAATGCCATAACGCCGACTAACATCTGGAGTCTAATTTTTTCAAGATGGCATGAAAAGTGGCAGGTGATATGATTTTTTATTTTTTTCTAGGAAAGCTAGGCCTTTAATATTTGTACTTTGTGTATTTGTCTGCCTGTTATGTAAGACAAAAGTAGAGCAGGGATTATTAGGGCAAATGGGGAAAATATATCAACGGTCTAAATATAATCTGGATTCACACCATGTGTCATCCACTTGAATCATTAGATTTTTTTTTAATCTCCAGGGAAATATATTGTATGTTCAAAACCATCCAGTAAAAGTGAATGGATTTAATATTTCTTGGCTGAATCATCGTGATTCTTTATCTTGTATAAATGTCCCAAAAACTTGTCAGAAAACCCTCCAGATGATTAAGGGTGCTGTTTGGTTTGGAGCTCGCATTAAAGAAAACATTTTTTTTCCATTTTACTGTTCATTTATATGAAATTATTGTTCTTGTTGAATTTTTGTTTTCTCCCTTTTTTTCTCTCTTTTTGCTTTCCCATGTCAGGAATTTCTGGCATAAATAGTGAGTGTTTGTTTTCTCTGTGCTCTAACTCCCAGCTGGTGGAGGCAGATTGCTGCCCTCTCTGAGTCTGGGTTCTGCTGAAGGTCTCTTCCTCTTCAAACAGTTTTCCTTTTTGGTCTGTTCCCTGCTGCTCTGTGACTGCTCTGGACAGGTGAAATCAGCAGACTGCTCATTTGATGCAGTATGTTGGTGCTGTTTTTTGGGAAGGGAACTTTTTTCCAAGATGGCATTTTGTCAACGCTGACGCACCCCACTGGGCTGTGTTGAATTACTGGACATGCATTTACTTCAGCTGCCGGGGTTTCTGGGTCGTTGTACCTCGGAGGCGTTGACTCTGCCTTCCTGGAAAGAACAGCTGCTTGGGTCGTGGGTGCAAAGGTTTCGATATTTACACCAGTGGCAGCGAAAAGTGCTGTTTACACAAGACAGACACCTGCGGGAGGAAATGCACACGTTACTACGCTTTAAAAAAAACATGAATAAAAACACAAAAAAACTCAGTTTTGCAAATATTGAGCTGAAATTTTATGTGAGAGTCACAACACATGCTCTCAGTGTGATGTTTTACAAAACTGCGTGACATTAAAGAAAACTAAAATGATCTTAGTCTAAATCTTTGGCATGAAAAGGAAATATTGAAGTAAAAAGGGTCTTTTGTTTAAAGAGAATACTTAGATGTCATCCACTGAATCATGGAGGATTGTTACATTTTAATGCTTTTAATTATTTGATTATTTAATTTTTAAAAAGTTGTTGTAAATTTTTATGCAGGGAGGATAAAGACTACTGAAAATAAATGATCATGAGAAAGGTATAAAATTGACATTCTTGTTAGATGTAGAGTAACATCAGCTTGTCACTACTTCCTGATTTGTGATAACAACAACAACTTGCATGCTTTTCTTTTTTTTTATGTGTCACTTGTCCAGCGCTGGATTATGTGAAAATCTATTTGTGTTGAAAGTGACAACAGAATATTAGAAAGGGAGAGTTGTGCAACATCGCTGGCGCCGATTCAAAAGCCTGCAGCAACCAGTCGATTGTGGATTAGAGTTGCTCCTAAATAACCTCACTAGACTCTAGTTTAATCAGATTTTGAAAAGCAAATATGGAGACAGTGCTGCTACAACAGAGGTGACTGATGTATATCTGTTCATACAACAAAAGAGAATTCTGGGAGCTTAGACAGGAATGTAAGCAGTGAAAATAGCACAATGCACTGTTTGATATCTGCTTTCTTAAATTTGAATTGAAAAGAACGTAATGGAAGATTTCATGCAGTACTGTTATATCTTCCATCATTAGGCTCTCTGCCTATTTATTTATTGAATCGTTTACTTTTGTAAAATTATTAAGGATATTTTGGGCTTAAAATACGTTGTAATGCTTTTACTGTTTTCTTTGTGGTTACTCATTTCTGTTCCATATCAGTTTAACAATTAAGTCTTTCTTCTTTCCCCTCATTTTTTTCCCAACAGCAATAAATATTTTACATTTTTAGAATGTATTATATGACATACCTACATTTCTAAAATTTTCAAGAGTGTGTCATTACCTGGTGCACTGCAATTTGGCTAGGAGAAATTATAACACGATTCAACAAACGCAGCCATAATGTGAAAAGCAGATTAAAACCCTGTGTTATTTTCAGCACGTGTTTAAATGTACATATACTGCATCGTAAATAATGAAATCAGGTCAAAGTTACCTTAAGACAACAAGAGAGTTGCAGCTGTGTACTTAACCTGTTCATTTCTATTAGGTTAGAGCAAATGATGTCATTTTATTGGGGTGGTTATAATGACTGGATCAGATTATTGTGGGGGTCACAGCCCCCCTAACCTCCCTGTAATTTATGCCCATGTCTTGCATGTGTGTGAGGAATGACTCTCAGCTACTACCACACCAAATTCTGATTTAATATCTGCAAAACTGGCCGATTTTTATTCATCTTTATGCTTTAATTGTTCAGTTGGCCGTGGTGATTATCTTGAATTGGGCTGAATTGGGTTCAGTCACTTTTAATGATTACTTTCTGGAGGTTTCATTAACCTCTGTTTATTGGTTCGTGATATATTTTGCTAACAGGAGAGACAATTAAACACAGATACTGGCAAAAACATTATTGCTCTGTGCTCGCCTGTGGTTGCGGGCAACAATAAGATGAAACATGAGGAATCCATAAAACCACTGACGGCACATACTGTACTGCAGCTCATCACGAGTAACAAACACCAATAAATGTAGTGCAGCATAATTAAATTTTGATATTAATTAGCTGCTCTGAGCTAGTATGAACATAAAAAAGTGCTGGTGTGTGAGCGAAAATGGAAAAAATAAATAAATAAAAAATCGGGGACTGTGTGTTAATACAGTGGAGCTGGACCAGGAGGGTGCTGCGAATGCTGGATAATTAATTATGGAGGCTGGTGTGATGCTGAGGTGATGGTAGTGCTGGGGATGCTGGGTTTGGTGCATGTTTGGTTTGAAATATTAATCGCGTGAGTACACAGGGTCACCCCCAAAGCTAATGGAGGCCATATTGGTGCAGAGCAGATGTGATGAGCTTCCAACTGTTTCTTTGCCGTGGCTTAATACGGTTTTATTGGGGCACTTGTGTTTCAGTCAAAGTGCTTTTTTTATAAATTACACGTGTGTACAGCGGTGATATCCTCCTGGGTTTGCTTCTGATGCTCCAATCAAATGTTCTTGCCTTCAGTTAATTTAATGTTTATCACTGAATCCAACTCTTGTTTTACTCTTTTTTTTTWAAAATTTCATTTAATTTAAGTTATTAGTTTATTTGATGGGGACAATGCACACAAACATAGAACAGATTAAGTCTGTAACTGATGCCTTACACAAAGAGTACATAACTGCAGCTTTTGCAGCTCCAGTCCCTGGTTGGGCATTTCTAAACATTAAAAAACGTAGTTTATATGTCAAAATACATTAAAAATGCATAATTATTTCTGCCTACATATTCACGTAATCAACCATGCAAGCTTCAAATTCATATAATTAAAACTATGCAATAAAATACATGCAATTTATAATTCAGAAACAATAAAACAAACATTTTGCTCTCCACATATCCATAAATAACCTTGCAACGTCTACATTTATATAAATATCTATACATATCCTCAGTACCTCTCCATCCTCACGCATTCAGCTAACATACTAAAAAAAATGCAGTCCCACACAGATATTTTTAGCAATTAAATCTGAGTACTAGAAACGATCTAGCCTGGTAAAAACCAGACCCTTGTCCTTCACTTTTCTTCATACGAGGGTCTGGACTCTCGGCTATAGAGAAGAGATTCTTGCTGGAGGCGTGGCCTCTGTTGAAGTTTAAAATGATTGGATCTGTTGGCCGCGAAGTATGCGTGCCAGCTCCACTGTGAAGGAGGCTAAGCTTAGAAGCTAACCAGCAGAGCCGGCTCTTGGCATAGGCGAACTAGGCGGTCGCCTAGGGCGCCATCTACTGGAGGGGGCGCCAAACTGCAAAAGAAAAAAGTAATTGTAAGTTGTTGTTTTTTTTTTTTTTGTGTTGGGGGGTGGGGGGTGCGCTTCAACTTGCCTAGGGCAGCACTGCTAACCGGAAATCGTGTGCGCTGTAAACAACCCTACTGAGAGGAGAAAAGTACCAAGCCGAACGAGATGGTTGTAAATAAGTCCTGCAGGCTTTGTCAGACAAATTTATTTTAATTTGGAAGCCTTATCAATACGGACTGGCTTCATTCACCTCCTCCACTGCCGTGTGCTAAACTAACCAGCAGACACTGCAGAAAATCAACGTTCTCTTCTCTGATTGGCCCAGATGAAAATTCTCCTGAAGAAATCCTTGTCTATGGGAGAAATCCCAGACGGAGCAGTGAAGGGAAACTAGAATTGAGCAGAACTGCGTAGGAAGGCAAGGGCCAGGCTAGAAATGATCACATCTTTGGTTTTCCTTTAGCCAAGATTTAGTCATGTGGACAAACTGTTTAAGTTCAGGTGTAGCTTTTACTTTCGGAGGCAATAAGTTCTAATATGTTGTACTTTTGTATCAAAAAGTGGTCTGACCAAACGAGGTTCTACATAGGGGAGTTATGCAATTCTGTTGTAATTATCTTCTAGTGACCCTGTAGCTGGTTTGCCTTTGTGTAAATGAACTTAATGGATGAGGAGCTAACTTACTGATACATTTAAAAAATAATTTAATTTAACATAAATTACAAAAGCTTTTAAAAGTCATTGAGTTATGTTTCTCCAGGATTACAAAGTGATGAGATTTTATTGGCCTTTTGCCCATTACTTTTATTGTTTGTTTACGAAATGCACGTGACCCACAGCCTTTCATGCCACAGTTTAAAACTAAAATCACCATTGCCATTTTAGAATAGAATAGAATAGAATAGAATAGAATAGAATAGAATAGAATAGAATAGAATAGAATAGAATAGAATAGAATAGAATAGAATAGCCTTTATTGTCCCACCGAGGGGAAATTCAGGTGTCATAGCAGCATCAGTACAGAGTTTCACACCCTAGTTACTTTACAAACTATGGACAGTGCACAAAAAACTAAATTAACACTGACCAGCAATGATACGATTACTAATAATTAAAAATATATAATATAAATAACTGTGCAAGAATAAAAAAAAGATATGTTTCGTTTTAGAGACAGTAGACTATCAGAATCTGACATTAGAAATCAGAATTTGCCGATTTTCAGTGCAAAATAATCTCAACATACTATTAACTGTAAAGTATCTCTATTAACTGTAGTTTGGTCAAACCCTGTAAAATGACCTTATTTACGATTTCATGTGATATCATGAGTGCTTGTGAAATGTGTTAGCACCCAGAGAACGTGTTGCAGATGACTCCGCTTCCATCACAACAGATTTTAGCTCTATGTTTGCAATATATATATATATATATATATATATATATATAAACTGGCGAGGTTACAGCCGTTTTTGAGTTTCCTAAAGGCCATTTGGCTGTAGCAGCTATCTTAAATTGGTTTACTATGAAAAGGTAATCATTTGTAATTACAAATTCAGATTGCTGAAGAAAAAAAAACTCTTTCAACACGCTTCATTAAATTCCATACAGCTATTCATGATGTAAGGGAAGCCTGCTTGTAAGAAAGTCAGTTAAATGTCAGTAACGCTTAAAAAAAAGAATTTTCACCAGTTCTTTTGCTGCATGATTGCATGAATAGATACAAGTATTACTCATTTTGTAATAAAGGTCTTCAAAGTCACTTTATATCATTGTGATTTTACCTTTTTGGAGCTTTAACTGCAACTGAAATACAGAGAAAGTCGCTGGTTTGCATGAGTTTCTATAAGCTGACAAATCCAGCTAATTGGCATTCATCCTAATAAGATCCAGCTTTGTTCCTGCCTGTAATTGTTACTCACAAAGAAAGACTCTTGTCATAGTTTACTCTTCTGATTAATACAGTTGACATTTGCAAAATGGCTCATAGTCAAAACAGCTTCCGTGTCCAGTTAGAGTTTATATTGGCTGGCATTTAAACAAAGGGCTCTTTAATTTACACGGTTTTAACTGCCCTCAAGGGAGGAGAGAAGGACAAAAATGTAGAACATCTTATGTTTCACAAACACAAATCTGCAGCAAGGGTCCCTTAAAACAAACTTAGGTCAGGGGGGCGTGGTTGTGAATCCAATGCTTATCTATTTAGCAACCCTTAGAGATTACCAGCCTACAGGGTGCAGCTTCCTATACTGAACATGCATGAGGTTCGCRTCTAACAGTAAAAGTTTATTGCAGCATAATCCAAGAAAGATTTTCTGTTTTAATCACTCAGTCTTCACTGCAAAAAAAAAAAAAAATTACGCCACAAATACTAAAAGTCCGGACTTTAATCACGCTAGAGCCTCTTTCTGGTGCTCACAGCGTTCAGCCGATCTGATCACAGGGAAATGTCGTGTCTAAATGAGCAAACAGATGTTTTTTTATTCAATTTTTTCCCCAAGATCTTACTGAACTCTAAAAACCCTAAATGTTTCCATCGCTCTAAACAGAACACAAATAAGTGCACATGAAGCAGGTGTCATATTGTTTTCATACTGATTTTTTTTTTTTCTCAGTGATTTTTCGCTGCACAGATCAACATGAAATTTGGCAGGAATGTAGATGAGTCCGACCTACACTGTGCCAGCCAACCGTTTTACGATAGACCCCATATTTGAGGAGGGGGCTCCATCTAAGACGGAGTTGTCTGGACATACAAAAATGCTTATAACTTAAAGGGGCAATATTATGTAAAATCAACTTTTTTGAGTTTTATATCATTTTATAATGTTATACTCTCATAAAA